CGGCGTTTAAAACCCCCGGCGTTTCTTCACATTTTTTTGAAAATCTACTGTGACGTACATATTATTTCTCGTAGGCTAGAAGAGGAAGAAAACAAAAAAATTCATATATTTTCATTACTGTAATATTATACATGTTTGTGACCACATGCCAGATTATACATGTTTGTAACAAGATGTGACATACCTCACACTTCGAAATGCATGCGGCGTTAAACCCATGCGTCTCTTCATATATTTTTAAGAATCTACTGTGATGTAAATATCATTTTTCGTAGGCTAGAAGACAAAGACAACAAATAATATTCAGATATTTTCGTTACTTGTACGCTGTATATAATTGTTGCTGTCCTGGGCGTGGCCACGTGTATATAACTATATACCAGATGTACATTTTGGGTAACTCATTAGTTATGTGTGTGTTACTAGTTGAAAAGTTATATTATAAACTATATAACGTTATAGATATGCTGGCCAGTCAATATGAAGGCCAGTCTAATTCATTTGCTCCAAAAGTCATATGTAATAAAATGAAAGAAATTCTAGCCTTCTTCATCAATTCTATACCTTAAACTAGACATATTGATTTAATCATACACGTGTATGTAAGTTAATCATTTGTATCCATGTGTTTGTTTGTAGGTATAGTTGTACAAAACCTCATGTCGTTACGAGAGTCACTGTACATTTGTTGTGTCAATAAAGATTCCATTTTTATTGAATCACTGTCTTTTAGTGCCATATAACGTTACCTGCTACACACAGATGGCGAAGTGAGCGTGTACAAACGAGCTTTTTATTAGATTAGATATACTGTATAAGAATATCGAGTGCACGCAATCGGCGATCTCTGAAATATTGATACCTACATGAGGCATAAGTATATCAGGCGCATGGTATATTGTGCAGCGGACACCCTGACGCAACGCTCAGGCACGTAATTCTAGCTGAAAAACAACATCTGTGGTGGTGAAGCGAAGATGGAACCCTGTTTAAAGTAATATTTAGATGGCTGTTGAGAGATGATGTGAGAATGGAGCCGCCCCCGTCCTACCTCCAGAACTATCACCTGTCCTCCCTCCTGACGGGAGGCGTGGAGGACCCGCCTTCCCTGCGGAACGACGTGCGGCGACAATGGGCCGGCTGTGTGTCCTTCATGGGCGTACTGCTCCTCACCGGCGGAATATTCGTACTCAAGGAGAATTTCTCCGCCGTGGGAGGGAAAACAATGATAGCTATAGGCTTGTTAGCCATACTGGGCGCCACGGGAGTCAACTGTTGTCTGAGTATGGCCCAGTGGAAGGGGGAAGAAGACGGGAGAGGGCGGGAGATGGGGCAGGGTCAGCTGACCACGGCCTCCTCAGCATCATTAGCGCCAGCATCCTCCAGAGCCGAGAGGACGGGATCGTCTCAACAGTGTTTGTCAGGGTAAGGCGTTCCTACATACACCAACACGGGCAGAAAATGCGCCATGCATCCATGCATATTCTACCTGTTGACATGTATTTCGACCGTTGTACATCACTCGCGGTATGCATCCATTTCCGACAAGCCGACAAGGGGTGAACCAGGAATAGTAGCGAGATAAGGGGATGAGTCTGTCGTAATTATGGGAAACTGGTGATTAATGAATTAATCAACCATCTATATAACCACATACTGCTTTTCAAAATACTGCATAGGCCTTCATGCAAAATGGGTAAATATGTGACTATTTATCAAGAGATGTAAGTAACATGCAGCGTTACTCCCTGATGGGTTTGAGATGATAATTCTTCGCAACAAGTGATGCATGGCCTTGAGCGGGGAGCCACTAGTCTTACTCAGACTGGCGCTTCCGCTGCTTCCAAAAACGATTCATTTTTTTAAATCAAATTAGAAGGAAATACAGACAAGATGACGCAGTCAGGTTATAGTGAAATTTAAAAACCGTCATCAAACACAAAAAAGATACGATGGTACATAAACGCACAAAGAATACACGCAATCAAAACAACAATTTGTGGTTAGATATGAATTTTAATTCTGTGAGCGAAAGTCCTAACACCCCCTCTATTGGTACTTCTAGTAGAACACAATTAATGTGAACGATTCGTTGCCGATGATATCCGTATATTATGTAAACCCCTTATACTGTTTCAGAACAATAATGAAACTCAGATTATACAAACGATGCACATTATATGGTTGTGGATAATGGGGGGGGGGGTCAATCAACTCCTCAACTGCACGTTAGATTTTTAGAATTAGCGTGAAAGATTTCTGCCTCCATCTTGTATCTAATCTGTATTCTATTGCCGGCCGCGGATGGAGTCTACTATTGCGAAAAAAAGTTCAATTGCCTCACCTCAAATTGCCTGTAGCTAAGCATGTGTGATCAGGTACACTGTAGTCTACAGTATCCGAAGTTCTGGTGAGTTGATAGCTCAGGGCAAGCTTCCACTTGGACTTTCATGCCAACTAAGCCGCAGTAAGTACTTCTAGATTGGAAAGATGATAACATCAGTACCAGCCGCGGCCAGAAAAGAGTGGATACAAATTACTGCCCGTCCGCTCTTTCCATCTTTGAGTGGATTATTCCTGAGTTGAAAGAAACTGTGGTTTCCGATGTTTTGCCCGAGGATGACTATCCAATCCCCATCTCCATAAGTCACTGCGAGCCTTTAAAAATATTTAAGCATCTATCCAGTAGAGACAAGGCATGGCCCGCTAAAGCTCTGCCTGCAAACTTATCACTTATTCATTGGCATTTTCTCCTCAGAACCGACCTTGCTGGACAACCGGCTGTCCCCTTGTTTCTCACTGATGACGAGCCTCCCGAATATGACGGCAGACCAGGAGGGCCGCCGCCAAAATATCCCGGAAGAGAAGACGACCATGATCAGGCAGAATCCTTCAGTAACTTTACTGTCCCGCCAGACGACCTCCCGCCACCGCCATCTTATGAGGACGTCGTCAGAGCCACACAAGCCAGACAGACCAGTTTATAACCTTAGTGCAATCACAAATCTTTACCAAAAATTTTAAACGTGTTTTGAAAAATGTTTTATGTGTACAATAGCTTTACACAGTCAATGTCGTGTCATGGACTGTACCATGATGTATGTGGGGAGGGGAGATGTGGTCGTTGTTTCATACAAAGGATTACGCCCCAATCCCACGAATTATTATGACTTGCTTCTTTTTGTGGATATACGAATGAACAAAAATCGCTGTTGCCACAATTTGTATTGTTGCACCCCATCCGCATCCGCACATCTTTGAATGTCCTTCGGATTCAGTGCACTGATTGCTGAACTTAAAGGGGAGGTCCAATACTTTCAGTTTTGGGGCCTTTCTACCCAAAATCCTATTTGTAAATGGTGATTTATTGGTTTCTGCCAACCCCGCACATATTTGCCGTGATATCTGACCCGCTCGATGTTTCGCGGCTAGCGCCAGATTGTCCGCTAGGCGGCGCTGTGACTGAATCTGTGACGTAAAAGGTTTCATTGGAACAGAGTTAGTACACAAGAAGAGCTTCCACTGGCGGGTGTGTTCAGACCATTTCGAGCCTGGATGCTTCACGCGAACGTCAGTCTCAATTCCTTTCTGTTGGGCGTATGGGCGGTCGATATGAATAAATCCGTCAAAGGGTCGAGTAAGTTGCAATGTAAACAAACTGCGGTATTCGCGGTACCGACCTGTTAGATACAGGCTCCTGCACGCCCTGCCGGATCAGATCCCACCGAAAAATCAGCAACGTTCGGAGGTTTGCCGGGTGCAGAATCAGATCGAAGTCAGGGTGGTTTCTAATGCATGGGTGGTCTGTACCGACGTTCTTTTCAGTGTCTGTCAGCTCTGGCAGGTCGTGACAACAAACACTCTCCCGTACAGAGGGCATTTCCAGGCAGTTTCTATTGTCTTCGTTTCCACACCGGCACCAATCCCGGTTCTCCAACCCTCTGTCTCCACATCACCTCCATCCCAAACGTTCTCATCGCCTGGATCGGGGTCAGAGTCACCACTACTGTCCGTCTGTGGCTAAAAACGGAAGGGTTGCACGCCCGCCATTGTTGTTTACGCTAGTAGCAGAATGAAACCTTTTACGTCACAGATCCAGTCGCAGCGCCGCCTAGCGGACAATCTGGCGCTAGCCGCGAAACATCGAGCGGGTCAGATATCACGGCAAATATGTGCGGGGTTGGCAGAAACTAGTAAATCACCATTTACATATAGGATTTTGGGTAGAAAGGCCCCAAAACTGAAAGTATTGGACCTCCCCTTTAAGCAGAGCCCGGGAGACGGTACAGTTAATCGTCCGTACGTACGTACGCACTTTTGTTTCTTGATGAATATCGCGATCGCCTACACGGAATGGTGGGTATTTTCCACGCCGACAATCTTCCCCGTGAGACAACATCACGTTTTTATTGCCCATCCCGGCGCCTCAGGAACACAATCTAATCCCGCCACAGACTATCACCCACCCACTGGTGCTACTTATGAAGGCCATGCAGCGGTGCGCTGCGAGCAGAACGACCTTGGAGAACCCAACCTTTTGACTTGGGATTTGAAACGCTGTATTAATACAGACGGTCTGGGAAGATTTATGGCAGTTTTTCTTTTATTCTAGCAGCCATTCCCTCCAAGGGACCCACGAACTTTATACAGAACTGTACGTGTGATATGCTGTATATTGTAAGGGGAGGGTGTCATGTTGTTGTATTATTGGCTGCTGATAACTCCCCTAAGTATAAAGTGGTTAATATTTGTCCCTGCAAGTGAAAGTCTGACATTTCTACGTGCAATATGGATCACTTTGCGACTTTCAATGATACCTATCACGTTAACGTTTGACTATTTTCAGGAACTGTTGTACTTCAGTGTTATTTGGTGCCATATGGTCTTTAAAGCACCGCTTTTGTCATGTGTATATACATACTTATCGAACGAATGCATTTGAAGCAACAAGGTGAAAACATATCACTGTTATACTATTGTTTCATCTGCGTCAAGGTGCGAATGATAATGTTCATCATTTAGATACAATGTGACCAACGTCCTATAGGACAGACTATTTGTAAGCGCAAGCACGTACTTATACCAACTTTGTCTTATAAGAAAGGTCATTAAGAATTCGACTGTAATTGAAAGAATTGTCTCTATTTTCTGTCAGGTCGAGTAATGTTTAGAGAAAATTTAGAACTCTCTAAAGTCTTTGCTGTATATTGAAGTTAAGATGTCGTGTATTACGTGAAAGCAATTTATGCGCATGTGGTTGTCAATAAAACTGTATTTTGTTTTGTAACAACGGCCTCTTGTGACTAAGCAAGTAACTACATCTTTTGGTGATGCGATGGGAGCCTCTGAAAAATCGTATATATCATTCATACCCATCCAAACCTAGTCGGTACGTCCATTCAACAGCTGCATCATTCTGCTGATGCATGTTTATATCCTAGTACATTAAAAAAAAATTGTCAACGGTTAACTGACACCAACGCTGCTTACGTATACTCGGCACCATTACTTAATTGTGCGATTACAAGAAGTGTTAGGAGATACCAGTTGGTGGGAAATGATTTTGATGTGTTCAACCAAACTTTGAAACTTTGTACATAACATACTTTTCCTGAGGAATATAATAACCTTGAATTGTGCGATATTTTGACAGCAATCTTTCTACATTGTCTTATATAGAAATAGATGTCATTTCTTTAGTACGTTGCTTGGCGTCGACATAAATTATCATCATTTTACGGATGTTATCGCCTCCTCATAGGGCGGTGGGGGGACTGACTGGTCGGTGGTGCCCCTGTCGGAATTTTGTGGGTACTGCATCGGTTGTTCCGCACATGGGGTTTCTGGGTACGAGGGTGGCAGTTGTAGTGCTGTCCCTGGGTACGAGACTGCTGGATCCAGAATAGGCACAGTCTGTCCGTCACTGTAGATGACATCATACTGAGGAGGCTCCTCTTCCACGCGTGTGTAAGGTGGTAAGGTAGCCTGTGGGTCACCATACCTGTCAACAATACAATATGACAAAATTAAAACAAAAAGAACGGAAATCACCCCAAGAAAAAAAGTACGTAACGTATAGAGGGCCAGGGGCCTGAGAAACAAATATGCGTCGGAAAAAATTGACAACGCATTAAACAGAAAAGAAAAAAAAGAACCATTGTAGTTGTACCAAAAGAATTCACCACATGTCCACAAATCTCCTTGATCCGCCCCAAGGAATTTGCAGTGTTTACTTTACACCAGAAGAGCCAAGACGAGGGTGAATTACTCCAAGGCCGAAGACAAGGCCGTCAAGATGACCATGTAACTACTTACAAGGTTTGTAAACAATGTTATGTACTACATGATGATTGAAAAAATAAACAACAGATTTAGCCAGGATAAGGTGCTGAAACATTAGGACAAGAAGAAACGGTGAAGAAGATAAACTGGAAATGTTACTTTTTTAAAGACACTAGTATTGTAGCGAACAATTGCAAGACGAGGAGAAAGAGTTCATTAAGCGTTCTCTTACGTTTAGAATATTTATATTGCAATTAGTGTCAACTAACTTTTCCACCTGCTTTAAAGCAAACAAAAGTAGAACTTGTGAAGGTAACCTCATTAACACACAATAACAACAATTACACCTTGGCACGTAGTTCAACCAGATCCAAAATAGGACACAAACAAAATAAATAAATCATAAGCTTCTCTGACCAGAACGATATACACATCGACCAAAAATCGAGTCCACGTACCCCAGCAGTGTCGTTGACGGCTGTTCAAATCCACTGCCGCTCTCTAGCTCTGGATCTGCGGCACACTGTTCCCCGGTACCCGGCCGGTGAGGAGCCCCTGTGCGACAACAACACTGGAACAGGATCGCGCCCATGAACAGTGGCGTGGCGACACCCACCATAACTTGTGACGCTATGATGGAATATCGGTATACCAAAATCACCAAGACAGAGAACAAGACGAACGCCATCGCCAAGATGCATCGTTTAAGTCGTCTTCTCTTGGCCTCGTCTGATTCATTCTGGTCTGTCGGTAGCACTGAAATAGGCAGCATTGTTGTTCGTAAACCACGCCTACTGGTGTGCCTCCACAAGTCACTTCTGAAGAATGGAGGATTTCTGCAGCAAACGTTCCAAAGCAGGCCTGGTAGGAATACATGTAACGTTCATGTTCTGTTACAGGCGTTTCTTCTTTGACGTCGAGGCGATATCAGGAATAGGTGTATTCGCCAAACGCAATCTGCTCATCGAGAGCCAACAGAGAGCCGCTCTCTAGTGTCTCTCACACTGGTACGCCTAAACGCGATACTAAGTACATGTACGTTGCAGTAAGCAGCCGTTTCGAGCCTCTGTGACGACTACTGAAGCCGTGTGGTGTTAAGGTAAGACAGGGGAAGGACCCTGGTTAGAGCTAGAGGTGACAACACCTGATCATGTTGTCTTATTGAGTGGACCAACCGGGTCGGTCAGATCTGTTTTAAGATCTGTGGCGTATCTAGGACGAAGCCCGCCTGGAGCCATATCTTCTATAGGTTTGGTTGCTCCCCGCCATTTAGCTCTTCCCATTAAGGACATCAATCTAAGAACTTTGCATATTACATGGTTTACATCTCCACTTCATATTTCCAACAATGTATAAACTTCATGCATTGCTGCTTGTGACATCTTTACACAAGCTACATGCATTATATGCTAATGCTGTTTAATTTGAAATAGGTATTTTCTGACAAATAATATTATTAATGAAGAATTTTAAGAAATAAAGTACCCTTCTGCCTCTTAGAAGCGCCATGTAATTTCATTATACCAAATTAAATAAAAGTCCATCATAAATACAATGTAGATACAAATATTGCATATTTTATTGCAATCATAAGTATAAAATTTGAATAAACTTTACATTTCAAACACATTACCATTTAGGTTAAGACATGTTTCACTGTGAATATCAAATGTTATGTAAATTACTAATGTTATATCTACACATAATTTGTTAAAGTTAAGCTACATGTCTTGTACATGCTCTTTTTACCTCATTTACAAGAAAGTAAAATGTCCTATTATACAGGTGTAATTTGTAAAAATACATAGCTCACTTAGTACTTATTTTCCTTAGTAGAGTTGTTGGCATTGGGGACAATAATATGGCTGGGAAACTGATGCAGATAATTGAGTTGACACTTTGTTTGGACACAAAAACTTTCAGTTCAGTTCAATTCATGGTTTAAAATGCTAGTGTTACACATATTTCCTATGAATAACCTATTACATGTATATATAAACTACTTTTATTTTGCAGAATTCACTGCCTCCTCATATGAAGGTGGTGGCTGGTAAACACCAGGAAATAAAGTACTGCTCCTGTTGTGGTACTCCTCTGGGTCCTGTGGGTACCTAGGCTGAGGCTCAGGGTACCCCACTGTTGGTGGTACCTCGTGGTACGGAGGTGCTTCTTCATACTGTGGCAGGTCCTCTCTACTAGTGTAGGGTGGCAATGTCGTCTGAGGGGTGGGGTTGCTGGGAAAAAAGAGAAGTATAGAAAAGTTGATGCATTGTACACATACAACACAGTGGATCTTAAAAGTTGTAATGTTAATAAAGGTTTAAACCTCCTTGTGTTAATGTAGGGAGAGGAAATTCATATTTTTGTTGTCTTTTCTCTGTCTGTCTCTCTCTCTCCAAGTCTTGCTCTCGCAAACACAGGTACAGTAGAAAGATGTGGTCATTTCCCTCGCTTGAAAATTATGTAAATACCATCGTCCTCTAGAAGGGATTTAAGTTCTTGCCTGTAGGCACGCATTGTGTAAACCAACCCACCGTAACATGGTTTCCTATAAGAGCGAGGTGTGCGTGTACGTACACGTGCATGTAACGTGTTACATGTAACTATAGTTACATGTTATAAATAAGTAACTTATCTTGAGGACGTTGTAAATTAGCCTCTACCAGCCTTCGGGAGGCAGCTGGAAAGAGTAGAAATTACAGTTGGTCGAACTTGGTCCGCTAGAGGTGCATTTTGCCGCACCCAGTTGTCAAAGCTTGTTTTTTTTACGCTACCTTCTTTTGACAAACAGAGAGATTCTCACCTACAGGCCGGCTCAATCCTGGGCACTACTGTCCCCGGGAGGGAGTCCTGCATGTCCTGCGGGCACACAGCCGCGATTCTCTGCTCCCTGTCGCTGTTTCGTCTACACGTTTTGTTTACACTCACACAGCAGCTGAACACACCCACAAAAAACACCAGCAGCGCGGTGAAACAGACGATGATCTGTCCGGCGATCATGGACACTCTGCTCATGACGATGATGCCGGCCGTGAACAGGGTGACTGTCCCGATGATCATCAGACATCGCGTCCGCCGCCGTTTTGTGAACGCCTCCTCCGCCTCTTCTTCGATCCTCTCAACCCGAACTAACGAGGACAAGGGGATCATGATGTCCCTTCCCTTTACCTGGAAACTTCAGGTGTTACAATACGTGGGACAAGTATGCAGTCTTCCCACGGACACATAAGAGCTAGGGAACAGCTTTGCATCAACCTATGTCCGTAGTCTCAGCGACCTTGGCCAAGTAGGACTAGTAGGAGTTGAAAACTTGGCGCCAGCTCGCCATGTTGGATTCCACATTCCCGCAATGCACAAAGTCAACACCGCAGATTTACAGGCAGACTCTGGGCCCAAACGGAACAGAACTGCTGCCAAATTCCTTCAGCTATGTCCACGAAGCATCTGGGCAAACATCTTCGAGACTTGGAGACGAAAAACTCTACCCACCGTGAAGTGTTTTGAAGTTATGTAAGGAAATGTAGAGCTGGTACCGCGATCTCCACCCTGGTCAAAGTTCAGCTTGCGGAGACGAGCCCACGTTAAGCACGGGGGTGGTCAGGTTACCAAATAAAAAAAGCCCGAGGTACCAATTTCCAATCGTGAAGACGACAGAAATCTATTCGTTTTCAAAACGCTTTCGCGATAGGTTGTACATAGAAGCAATTTCTGTTGAAATTTCTGTAAACTGTGACAACACCATAACAGTAAAAAAAAGGAATTGGGCGATACGAACACTGATTCTACAGAGGTGTCTTTATTTTCAAATTTCGCGATTGTTTTCTTCTTGTTCAATGTCAAACTTGGTTAAAATGTTGCTTCAAATGTGCCTGTTTTTTTCATATATTCAATGTACAAAAAGCACAAAAATGGAATTGCCCAGGCAACATACAACTATAATATCTTACATTTGTTTCATATTGTGCTTCTAGTCATAAACATTCTTTTCGATATTTTCGATATTCTTCATACATCTCAGATGACTGTTGCGTTCACGAGTATTGTACTGTTTTGCTTGACACGTCGGTGTTTTATAGGTAACCTTCTGTTTCCCATATCAGTATAACTTGTTGGTACAGCAGACTGCATACGCAAAGCAAACAATAAAAGGTAATGTAAACAAGACGTTTAAACAAACTCTATTGTGCAAGAAAGTGGCCTAAGTTTGCATAGTTGGCTGACTAACGAATGGGGTTGTTTACGGTAGATATCTAGATGTACCACAACATCAATTTTAATACACAGTCCAGAGGTATATTAATGCGTTTTAATGAAAAAAAATCAATCACTCATCATAGTGTGACAGTAGTGACCTTATGGTGGCAATAGGTTTCATACCTGCATAGTATCTAGCTCGGTAGATAGTCAACCTTAAAATATACCAGTCTAGTGTTTTAGAAATACCGAATAGGTGCAAACTATGTGGCTCTAAAAGTGTGTTCTTGACTAATTTAAGGTTGTCAATTAAGGTTCAACAGTTTGGTCCATGTAGAGGAAGAACACGTACATGTAAATATACAATAATACTCTTTGAGTCTGTGATCATTTCATAACCAATTTCTGCCCCATATAAATCGGACCTCAGTACAGTTCTTAGGTCACAACAATGACTGAATATATATCTGGAAAAGAACTCGTCAGTTTTTGGGATTCATAACGTCCTCATAAGATGGGGGCGGAGGGTAAGCAGGGTGGGTCAGTGGGACCTGTGGGTACTGTGGTGGTTGGGGCATGACGTAGTCCTGTGGTGGTACTCCAGACGGTATACCTGGGTACGGCTGTGGTACCGGTGGTGGTAGTCCAGGGTAGCCAGGCAGTGGCACGATACCAGTGGGACCCGGGCCGTCTGACGAGTACCGTGCTCCGTACGTCAAACCAGCCGTAAACCCGTACTGAGTTGAGACTGGCGCGGCGCTGCTGGGTGATGGTGGATATCTGCGGACGGAAAAACAAAGGCATGACAAACAGGGAGCATGCGACATATTTCAAAACTTACAGCCAACCAAACACTTAAATCCGTGCATATTGTAAATTTGTCATAGTTAAGTGATTTGTTACGAGCGTAAACGCCGAGTCACCAAGTAAACTATGATTAAACTGAAAGTAAAAAAAAACAACAACAATACTCTTGATCCACCCAACTTTCCTGTGAATACGTGTTTTAATATTTATTGTTAACTAGTTAGTATAGTTAGATTTAGAAGTTATTGATCGTTATGCCCTTACCCGATGGTAGGCGGTGTTGTGGTCACGGTCTGCAGGCCACCTGTCCGTGTGCCCTGCGGTTGTGTGTTGACGGCCGCCGTCTTCCTCATGTGCACGATGGAGAACGCTAAACTAACGAACACCAGTCCAGCTCCCGTGATCATGATGATCCCCCAGATCATGGACCAAGACGTGAAGACGTAAACTCCCGACAGAATCACGACAAAGGCCAGAAACGACATGAGGCGAGCCATGTTGATCCGCCTGTCCAGTGCGGGGTTCCCGGTGGCGGGTGCCCGGAACATAGCGGCCCCGTCGCCGCCGCCGCCCCGGTGATGTGCGCGCCGCCCATGCCGCCGAGCCCGACCCCGACGCCCACCACCACCCTCTCCCTTCCCCATGTCGGCCAAACGGCACCGATAAACGTTTGACTCGCACGGGTTCAGGCCTGAGAGCGGAACCACAGTTGAAGGGTCGCCATGTTTGTCCTAGAGCTGAGAGGAGTGGAGCAATGGCGAGAGAACACACCTGTTATGTTACCCTGTAGCGGGTCCCAGGCCATAGCACCCAACTGTGGGGGCGTTTCCTGGGCTTATTCAAACAAATATGGGGTTATCACGAACTTGAAACACCAGAACTAAAACGCTTTACTATAATTCCAACCTAGCAGAGAGTTATTTTCCCTTGGAAAGATTGCCAACTCTATCGTCCAATGGCGTGACTTAGGCCACCTGTATCATATCTATATGTCGGGCGGAGAACAGAGTTCGGGCTATACCATTTGAAACACTGTGGGTGCGTAGTATGTTTACATGTGCCTTTTTGCACCGGACAATCTTTTTAACTGCTATTCAGTTAAACAATAGATTGTATAATTATAATGCAGGCATAATTAATGTCTTAATTCTGCATGGAGCAGTATCGACCTCTTTCTGCTTCCTGTCATGTTCTAGAGTTCATTGCATCGTCGTAAGAAGGGGGAGGGTCGGTTGTGGCGGCTTCTGTGTACAGTGGCAGGGTTATGTTGTACTCCGGTAGCCTTGTGTGTAGTAGCCTTGTGTGTAGCTGCTGTGACGGTACCCCTAAGTGTGGCCCCGGGGGGACATCATTGTACTGTGGCGGTAGTTCTACATGCCCTTGGTGTTGTGTTAGCGTCGCTTGACTGCAGTCTACCAACGGGGAGGATTGCACTCCATATGGGACACTACACTGCGACTGATCCGTGGAAGTGATCTCAAAGGTCGTTGGGTACCTGAACGACAAAATTACATACATTGTATAATGTCATCAATCGTTATCAAACTTTCAAAGAAAGTAGTAATACTGGTGTGACTGGGGTTGGGAGCCTAAGGGTGAAGTGATCGTGACCTGTCTTGGACGTTAATTGTAGCCTGGCGATTTGACTTCCTCCCATAGTATACACGTAGTCAGCTGAAGTTGACATACTATTACTAGTAGTACATGTACACACTCACCTGTCCGTAGGGGGCGCGGCTGTCATTGCCCGCAGCACATCAGCCCAGCTAGTCTCCCGCTGCACGTTGGTGGCCAGGGCCCACGCTCTCAGCCGGTAGATGATACAGTGTAACCCGGCAAAAACCATCGCACCTGTCATGATGATCACGATCCCTCCTATCATAGACTGACGGAGCGCGACGAACAATCCCACTACCATCAGTACAAACGCTAGCAGGGCTACTAGCCTCGCTGTTTGAACCAGCTTGTCGATAGTGCTGTGTCCTGTGTTGCCTAGTGAGAACACTCCGCCGACACCTGTTCGAACGGGACGGCCACGACGTCGGCGCCGCTGTCGGTGGGCCCTGCCCCGCCGCATGCCACCGCCACTTCCCCTCCCCATAGCTGCAGTTCCGCAGGATTTAAGTAAGAGCAGTCTCGGGCGCCATGTTTTTGTGAAGTGTCGGTCCGAGAGTGGAGTCAAGCGTCGGAATTAAACACCTGCCGATGGTCTTAAAGCTTGGTTCCAAACTCTCAGTGTCGCATATGAACTAAAACAGTACAGAAAACGCAAACAAAGGCAGCAAAACATTAAAAGCAACAAGTTACCTCTAAACTTATGACATATGAGGTTTTGTGTGGTTTCAGTTTACTTTAGGATTGCGTCATCGGGTAGGCGGTACCCTCTGACGGGGAGCCAATTGTAGAAGGTTCGCTGTATTACTGGATTAACAACGCTTGTTTTGCCCCGGCCCCAGGAGCCCATATCACAGCTACAGAAAAGTCTACGTATCTTTTAACTCGGCAATTTGGTAGCTAGAGAACCATGCTTGTACGAGTATTTGAACATAAGATGCTTTCAGTTTATCGAAATGTTTTTCACCAGCTCAAAGAACACGGAATTTTTATACGTTTTCTTTCTACAGTACCTAGTACTACCTACCATCTCAATGTCAACACTATCTGATTTGCATGCCTGTGATAAAATTACTTGACGTTTTTCATACCAAGACACTGAAATCTTGTTTGTCAGCACTTTGCTTGGTATACTATGTTAGACATTTGAAGGCCATACATACAGACACGGGATGTTTCTCACATAGAGAATTTACTGTACTAAAAAACTTTTTGTCATAAATCTTATTGTATAGATAACAAGACATGTCCAATTTAAGGCTTACAATATTATTCTGTGACCACATATCCAGTTTGCTTCACATATTTCGGCACAGAGGACAGCGGAATATGAACTTCAAGACAGAAAAAAAGCTGACAGAAAAAATGCTGACATTAAAATACCATATTGTCCACTGATCATGACAAGCTATACTAATATCGGTAACATGAAAGGCAAAACTGTGAAAAGTCAACATGTATGTTTAACCCAAGGTAACCAACAAGTAACTCTTAACTACTTGTCTTTACTTTTCTCAATACTGTATTTGAAAAAATGAATACAGTAATTCATGTTTGATCAAACATTATGAAAATGAAGTCCTCTTACATATCCAGTACATGTATATAAATGACATGTTTTGCTGGAAAATGCAATAAAAATTCATGGACATGTCACAGGAGTGATGCCACCAGCTTCTCATGGTTGGATTTTTTAAAACGTAGACCTGATGTACAATGCAGTCTGGTTAAAACACCAGACATCTCAGCTGAATCCTGTGACTTCCATGTCACATTGCAGAGGAATAATGCACCTATCAGTAGAAATCCAGATTTAGCTGCGATGTAGCAGGGGTTTGAGGTTTACGACAGTATAGATTTACTCAAAACTGCCATGTTTTGAAGTAAAAACGGCTATAATTTTAGCCTTGAGTAAAGCTGATATATCCCCATCACATGCCAACACATCTACCCCTGAGATTTACAGTGACATGTTCACAACACTCGTAGGCAAGTTGACAAGTTTTTATGACCCATAGTGCTCATTGTGGAAGGTGCACAACTGTTTGCCCTATATGCAAATACATAAAACTGGACCAATAAATAGACTACCTTTTGCACCATACACGATAGCTCTGCTATCAACACACAAATACTAGCACTGTACACCAGCAAAATAACAGACAGACATGATCTATTACCAACTTACATGCTAGTATAGACATGCAGCACTGAGAACATGTTAATCTCTACTTGATTGATGGAAAAAAACATCAAAAGGAAATAAAAAGACATATTTCTAACCCATGTCAACTTACAGTAAATGGCACTTTCTCCTAAATCAAGTACATCTTTGATTTATTACATGTATCATCTACTTCTTATTGACTCGTTTTCCCTTTGCATGTAAATGCAAATGTAATGCCTTTAATTGAGCTCCTTGTGTAAAATCAAGGAGACTCCTACAATATTGTAGCTATTTTACTTGAAAGTTTGCATTGTGTTGTTCACATTGAAATCCATTCACAGTTTACATAATTATGTACTATAATACAAAATCTATTCTGCATCAGATCTACACTGAATACAAAAGTACACACTTGTAGTCATCAGTGGTTGGAAGTGTACAGAGCAAGTCAAATCACAGGAGTTAAACAAGCTCTGTTCTTCATGGGCATTCCACAGAGCATCAGTAGAATTCTTTGGAACAGTTACCGTAGTGGTATGTCCGAGCATAACTGGCATGGTTTTCTATAAGGGATCTAAAATAAAGAATCACTGATGGGCTGACATCAATGGAAGTTCAAACTAAAAGAAGCAATCGTTGAACTATGACTAGATGACAGATGCCAAGATGGGCATTGAAGAAAGATTCTTCAAAATTGACAAGAGGTCAATTTTGTGAAAGGGGGGTTGAGAGAAGGACAGAAATAGAGTTTCAGTTGCAATCGTGTTTAAGTCTAGTATGACCATACCTCTCAGTTATTTATTATCCTGCAACATACAAAATTGTTTTGGATTTTGGACGTTACCTTTTCACAGGGTTGTCAAATGTTAATCCTCCCAACCCTTCCAAAACAGATGCTCCCTCTTGTTTACAAATGTACATGGTCAAGAGGACAACCTCTGGAACAACAATAATGTAGTTTATAATCAAGCAACAAGTACTCAGATCTGCTAGGATGAGAAGAAGAAGTTCAGCGCCCTGTTGACATCGTAATCAGCAGCAAGTGCGACGCGGACCAGCTCCTCCTGTGGCACGTCTTCGCCGACGATGTCTCGGAGCGCCGAGAGGCACGCGTCCAGCCGGACTCTGTCTTCTGTCATGCTGACGTCAGAAGAGGTTGTCTCATCAGTTCCTCCGGCCTGGATGTGGAAAAGGAAAAGTCAAGATGTGAACTTCACTCCATTTCTAGGCATTTTTTTCATCATCTCAATTCTGTTTGACGTAATATCACGTTGAGCATGGAACATCCTAGAGGAGTTTGAGGGTATGCTCCCCATTAAATTTTGAAATCCCCTGGAATTGCTATTTTCTGCATTTTGAGGGACAAATTTTGCTGGTGGACTAAACTTAGTTGAATGACATCTCTTTCCATCTCTGTACACACAGACTTTTTTCCATGAAAGACGATCAATGTGGCCAAATTTAATCAAATGATGAAAAGATGGACACTGGCTAGAAAACTGCTTTACTCTCATAATTGCATTTCACAAAAAACTTTACCCAAGTACATGCTTAAGACAAAAAAAACTAGACTCCAACTAAGGAATAGAGAAGACAACTCACTTCTTCGTCAGATATACTGAGGGCACAGGCCATGTCTTCCAGGGCTGTTCCACTAAGATGGGAGGGGGGTGCAGCTGTTGGATGGGCTGTTCCAAAAGGACCTACATGCCTATAATCAGACCGAATCAGAAAGAATTAGTCACAGTAGCATTGATTTACATAATGACAGTAACAAAGAAACAATACATCATCAAGGAAAATATTTATCAGTTGACTGACAAAATTTCCCATATCCTTTTGTTTAAGTGAGCAACATTTTCTTTAGGTTAAAGAGAATCTGGGCAAAGTTAATGAATGCGCAGATAACAGTTACAACATCTACTAACCCGCTCCAGGCCAACATGTCCTCCACCTCCTCCTGTAGCTGCTCAGGCAGCTCACTGAACACCTCGATGTCCTCTACTGCATTAGGGTGGTCCAGGATGAAGTCCATCACTGTACTCTACACGTATGCAACAGCGGCATTAAACAAACAAAACTTACGGCATACATGTACTAACACACAGTCCAGATTCAGTGCATTGTTTATCAAACAAAATTTGTAGCACACTAACACACAGCCAGATTTTAACAATAAAACATCTACTTATGTTGTAACTCTATTAGTATTACATTTGAAAAACAACTTATTTACCAGCTACCATCTACAATATACTTCTCAATAAGACCAATGCTGGGAGATAATAATACTCTAGTGAGAGTTTTGTGGAGAAGTTAACCTTGAGAGAAGTGGCTCCAAACTGGTCGGCCAGCCCCAGCAGAAACAGTGCAGTATCCTCCTCCAGGTGGGCCCGTAGAGCCCCTTCACACAGCCTCTTCAGACTGTCCACCTACATGTAGGGGAGATCAGGCAATCAGAGAGGGCAGACTTCAACCCCTCACACATATGGGTCCTCATATCTAAAGTTTGAACTTTTATGACAAAAGAAACTCTTGGGCCTGAGTAGCTCAAATTATGTCCTCATTTAATACAATTACATTGTGTGGGCCATTTGCAGACTAATCCTCTCAGCATTTGTTAGTGAGAGAATAGTACATTGTACTAGTCCTTGTGGGTGGCACTTAACATTAACAACATTAACAATGTAACTGTTAATAAAAGAAACCCCTGGCCTGGAACAAAATTTCCCCACCTCATATCTGTCGCTGAGTGCAGTCATGTCTGCCAGCTGGTCCAGTGTGAGTGTGTCTGTGGCCAGGTTCCCTACATACAGGTACTCCAGGAACAGACGGAACAGGGCCGGGCTCGTGTCATGCACTGTGATCCGCCTGAAATCATGCAGTGGAATTGGTTTCTGTTTTCTTGTCAGTAAATCTTTTATTCTTTTACGATCAAAATGATGAGCATTTTTGTCTCTATCGTACGTGAAAATTCACCTACAGATCATGTATGGCAAAAGTTAGAAAATAACATTCTTTCACAGCTTTATCACTTCTAAACAGTTGTATGTATCTATTCCTTTTTTATAGTCCTGAGAAGCCTTGACATGCTTCCATGTTCAGCTTTAACTTCTAGTATACTTGTATCCTGTAAAACTATTAAAAAATTAATTTGCAGCTTTAAATGCGTGATTCTGTTTCTTTCTCTGCTGACCTGTCGATGGCTTCCTTCATGCCGCTGAGCAGAGCCCTGCGGAACCAGTCACAGCGAGCGGCCACGATGACGCGGTGAGCGTGGATCTCCTCCACCTCGGGCGTGTCGTCTGTACGCGACACCATCCCGCCTGCAGAGTGGTCAATCACCAGGTCCGACACATCTGCACAAAATTAAAGGGAATATTCAGAAAATGTGCTTTTTGTAATCATTTTAAAATACTGTCTCCAATTGAGTACGTCCTTCTTACAGACCTCAGACATGATTTCTATTTCTAGTTTGAAAAAGAGCCACATACACATGGTAGAACCACCGAGTTCTGGAGTAAAGACAAACATGCTCTCTGACTGAGGAAAAGTGGCAGAGTAGCAGGGTTGGTA